ACAGCACACCTTGCTTTTTCAGAACGATGAGCTTTGTAAAAATCGACGCGTTTCAGAAAGGCGGGGCATAGAGGAGAAACAATAATGTACAGTATGTGGAAAATAATGTGTTTTTGAACCTTAAACCGCATAAACACATTTTATTACACCAAATACACAAAATAATGTTCTTTTTAGCAACATCATATGACCCCTTTAAGTCGCTGGGGTATATTTGTAGCAATAGCCAAAAATACATTGAATGGGTCAAAATTATTGATTTTTCTTTTATGCCAAAAATCATTAGGACATTAAGTAAAGATCATGTTCCATGAAGATATTTTGTAAATTTCCTACCGTAAATATATCAAAACTTAATTTTTGATTAGTAATATGCATTGCTAAGAACTTCATTTGGACAACTTTAAAGGCGATTTTCTCAATATTTTGCACCCTCAGATTCCAGATTTTCAAATAGTTGTATCTCGGCCAAATATTGCCCTATCCTAACAAACCATACCTCAACAGAAAGCTTATTTATTCAGCTTTGAGAGGTGTATAAATCTTAATTTCAAAAAATTGACCCTTATGACTGGTTTTGTGGTCCAGGATCACATATTTTAAATTGTAACCAACCTTTTCATGTAATAAAGAGGTAAAGTAATCTAAAACATGTTTTCCATGTGTTGGTTGAACCACATGACTTTGCTGGTCACAGGCCATGACTTTCATTTGACAGATAAACTTTTTTAAATATTTAGAATATTTCAAATTCAACTGTTTCACTGTTTTGTTTTGTTTTTCATAATAAAAGATTAAGCCGAATTACTAAGCTTTTTTTAATTTTTTAATTTTAATAAAGCTTTTGTCAAATTGCAATTTATATAATAATTTTTATTCATTCATTTAAAAAGCATATTGATCAATATGTTTCAATATGTGTATATCAATATGAGTCTAATAATAATAATAATACTTATTATTATTACTGAATACAACTATTAAACAAAATAAGAAATATTACTATTGTAATATTTCACTGTAAAATGATTAATTAAGCATTTAGGAAAAATGCAGCGAACACATTTATTCAATTAAATTGCAGGCTTATTGCAATTTCGGTTTTATCTTGATTAATCGTGCTCTTCTCCTTCATACACCCAAGAGTTAGAATATAAAGACCACCGCACTCACCCATACAGACGTTGTCAGAGTCCGGCTGGCAGGGTCTGATCTCCACCTCGTCATCAGTACAGCGTGAGCAGGGCACGCAGGGTTTCCTGTCACTCTGCTCCTTTGAGTAAGTCCCTGGTTTACACCGCTCACATACAGTATTTCCCAGCGGCCCACAGGCCCGAACCACTCCGCTTCCATGCCCACACATGGAGCAGGTCGCGCACAGCCCACTTGTGCTGTTACCATCTCGCCACAGGAAGAAGCGCTCACCGCACTCACACTGGGTATCCTGAGTGGGCGTGCAGCGTGCCAGTTCAGGAATGCCGACGGGGCAGCGGGCACACAGACGACAGGCTGACAGACTCTCAGAGTCTGAGAAGGACACACCTAGAAGAGATTTAAAGTAATTTTTATCAATAATACATAGATAAACATTGGCAAAGTAACAATATTCACATCTAAGCATTTATTCAAAATAAAAATGTATGTTTTGAAAACACTCACCATCTTGACACGGCTGACACTTGGTGTCTTCCTGACCACAGCTGCTCACCAAACCAGTGCCCGCAGCACACATGCTGCAACATTCGCCTGTTTTTGTAAACTGCTCAGTGGTACAGACATTTCCAAACACCACCTGCAAAACACAAAAGCACATGTCTAATTCAAATTATTCTTAATAATTACATGCTATTTTGTAACATAAATTTGATCTTAGTAACCCAAAAGACCATTTTAAGAGTTTTCAAGTCCCCTTATCAAAATAACAAAAGCAGTTAAATATTAAAAGTTTGTCTTTTAATGGCAAAAAGAAGACTTTTATTAACAAAAAATTATTCAAAATTAATAAGTTAACTGACAGCCTACAAAGGAGTGAAAAATATAAATTTAAAGTTAAAATATAAAATTTAATGATAATGAACTTCACATAAACACACACACACACACACACACACACACACACACACACACACACACACACACACACACACATATATATATAGCGCTCACCGCACTCACACTGGGTATCCTGAGTGGGCGTGCAGCGTGCCAGTTCAGGAATGCCGACGGGGCAGCGGGCACACAGACGACAGGCTGACAGACTCTCAGAGTCTGAGAAGGACACACCTAGAAGAGATTTAAAGTAATTTTTATCAATAATACATAGATAAACATTGGCAAAGCAACAATATTCACATCTAAGCATTTATTCAAAATAAAAATGAAAATGTATGTTTTGAAAACACTCACCATCTTGACACAGCTGACACTTGGTGTCTTCCTGACCACAGCTGCTCACCAAACCAGTGCCCGCAGCACACATGCTGCAACATTCGCCTGTTTTTGTAAACTGCTCAGTGGTACAGACATTTCCAAACACCACCTGCAAAACACAAAAGCACATGTCTAATTCAAATTATTCTTAATAATTACATGCTATTTTGTAACATAAATTTGATCTTAGTAACCCAAAAGACCATTTTAAGAGTTTTCAAGTCCCCTCAGTCTCAATATATAACAGAAACATGAAGATATAGTGATATTCAGCCAGAGAATTACATTCAAATAGCCTATTGTGTGAAATAAGTTCAAAACCCTAAAAACAATATAAATGAACTGCATGCCATATTTTTATATGAAAATAAACAAGCTGAAAACACTAACTGAAAAACTTGCATTGCTTTTCTATAGTATTAAGCCTCAAATGTCAACTATACATTGGATTGGTTTCTTCTTTAAATAAAAAGGTAAAAATATGCATGGTATTATAATGTTATATTAAAACTCAATTTAAAACAATGGAAAAACCCTTAAGATAACACGTAGAAAGAAAAAAAGCATCTTAAGCATGCAGAATAAGATAAGTGGACTTTGAATGATTAATTGCAATTATATATATATAATGTTATTTATTTGTTTATTTTTTTACAGCTATAATACAGCTATCGATGCAGCAGAAAACATCTAGCCTGGGTCATGTTTACATTTCTTTTTAATTCTAACCTTGAAATCAGGATTAGCCATAAAATAAATTTATTCATGTAAAAATCAGCTAAGAATTGAACCAACAATTGTAACATGGCTCAGAGGAAGATAAGAATCATGTCTTTGTGGCAGTTTTATCTGGTGATTAAGGAATAATTCAAGACTTCTTCACCTCACAAATGGTTGTCGAAATCAGAAACGCTCTGAAATTCACATCATATTTTGTGACATGCTAGAGCAAAACAGACACTATTTTTGGAATAAGCACCCCAAAAATGATTAATAGAAACCATTTTTGGATTTCATAATGGAGGGCGGCATTATAGGGAAAAAAATTATAAAGTTCTAAACATCATAAGTCTCATACACATTCAAGCAACTTCGTAAAACCACAACCTTTAATTTGTAGGAGAACTTGCCATATCATGCAGTCCACACACTGACATATGTGGGGCACTTTGTTCTCTCTTCTTACACACACACACACACACACACACACATACTTCCCTGTGATTTTGCATAAAATGGGGTTTAGGCATTTTAATTGCACAGTGTTTCCTGTGAGAGCCTGAAGTGGGTTTCAATAGTCCTTGTGACTTTAACACTCCAATCTGGGTGTAAATAGTGTAACAACACACCCTTTCTCACATCTATAACAAAACAATATCAAAAATGAGCGAGGCAGGGTGTCATTAAGGGATGTTTAAAAATAGTCCTCGCTCATGGAAATGTCACATTATGTGTATTAGCCCCCATTTCAAACAGACGCATCAGCAGTCGGGGCCCCAGTGCAGCTTGGGACCTCAGGGAAGGGTGTGATGTGTGTGTGCGTCTGTTTGGGTAACAGAAGACTTTGATGTCCCCCTCAGCTCTGCAGGTGTGATAGAGAAGGTCAGTTCTGCAGCATGCATATGTTTAGGAAAATTACCCCTCACACACCCCCTCTGCTTCTCAACGGCCCCCTGGGGCTCTGACAAGAGCCAACAGATGCCTAACATGTAAAGCTCCTCCAAAGAGGGAAAGCAAAACCCACACAGCCTCTCTGATGTCTCTTTCTTCTCCTCTCTGATCTCTGTTGGGACGAGAGCGTGTGTAAACCTGTTGAACGAGCGCACACACTCATAATCTCATAGAAACACTAATTCACATTTGTACACAGCTGCCCACAGGGCAACAACCTTCAATTTGTAAGTAAAAAGAGCAGCTTCTTTCTGCATTTAAGCCACTACAGCTTGCTTTGATACACCTTTTCATGGTTTATAAAGAGTTGAGTAATTAAATAATCAATATTGAAAGAGACCAAATTTAAACATTTAAGAATCTGCCATGTAAACTGATCGACTTCCCTATTGGGAAGTCCATGGCAGTTACAGTAATAAATAAACAAGTTAATAAATTATACATATTACCAATCAAAAGTCAGTTTTCAGTAAGATTGTTATTTTGAAAGAAATAAATACTTTTATTCAGCAAGGATGCATTAAATTAACCAAAAGTGACAGTAAAGGCATTCAGAATGTTACAAAAAGCTGTTCTTTTGAACTTTCTATTCATCAAAGAATCCTAAAATCAATGGTTTCCTACAAAAATATTAAGCAACTCAACTGTTTTCAACATTGATAATGATAAGAACTTTTTCTTGAGCATCAAATCAGCATATTAGAATGATTTCTGAAGGATCACAAGACTGGAGTAATGATGCTGAACATTTCAGCTTTCCCATCACAGTAAGAGATTACATTTTTAAAATATATTAAAATGTAAAAAAAAAAAAAAGGTGCTGGGCTATGATTAATCGTGATTAATTGCATCCAAAATAAAAGTTTTTGTTTAGGTATATAATAGATATGTGTGCACTGTATATATTTATTATGTATATATAAAGACACACATATAGTATATATTTTGAAAACATGCATATGTATATATACACATGTATATATTTATATTCATATAATTTATATTATATATAAATATATTTAATATAAAAACACATTTGTTCTTAAATATATACAGGCATGTGTGTGTATTTATATATACATAATAAATATACACAGTACACACACATATATTATGTA